ACCTGCTGGGCTCCGGCAATCCTTCCGCCTCAGCCTTCCGAGTAGCCAGAATTACAGGCCATTAAGTATATATTAACCTTTTAAGGGGGGTGGTCTCACTGAAGAGTTTGATTTAAATTAATAAAAACTCCTGAAATTTCATCATCTATGCTGGTAAATCATTTTTTCCTTTTCATCATCTTGGACCTAAATACAGGACCTTGGATTTATCCCCATCATATTTTATCTTGCTAGATATGGTCTAACAAATAGCCCCATCTGTGAGAAGTGGTGAGGAATTGAAGCAATGAAATCAAAATGTCATGGCTGATAGATACATTCAGAGTGGGCTTTCCCCTGAATTGTATCCCACATCTTTAAAATAAAAATTTTTTTTTAAAGTGGGATTTGCATCTTAAGTGACTATAATATACACATGACTTTAATATCATTAACAAACACTGTAAGGTAAACATCCTTGTATGACTAATAAGATAAACTATAGATTCACCTTAATGCTCCAAGTTAAAAAAAAATGAATACATAAATAATTCAACTCAGGTATATTTCTATAAGGTTACTGTGTTCTATTGAGAAATAATGTACTTATAGTTTTATACAGAGGCTTTGAAGCTTTAATGCTATATGTAAATTCAAGATTTCCTACTGAGTTTTCTCTAATTCATTTTAAATTCCAAACTTTGAAATCGAACATTTTAGATGTCAGGAAGGATATGCAAAGCCCTGTCCTGATTCCTTCCTGTGTTGTACTTCTGTGTCTTCCCCGGTATTCAGAACTCATCACTTGCACAGCACTCTTTCCACCATAGTTTAAATGCATTATCTTGTATGTGTCATGAGCAGTTAGAACCAGAAGGCTAGCTCGGAGCCAAGCACAGCTTTCAAAACTAGAGTCTAGTCAATAAATTATTTGGATGGCAATATGTTAACATGACAGGTTTTTTAAAATGCAACTTTCATATCAAAAAGTATCCAAAATATAAATAAACAATTCAATCAACGATGACAAAGCAAACACATCATCCTCACTCAGGTGAAGAAACAGAACACTACCAGATTTCCAGAACATTCTTCTAGTGCTTCCTGTTTTCCAATCACTACCTATTTCCTCCTCCACTAAAATAATCTCCATTCTGACTTCTGACACCATAGTTTAGTGTTATTTACATAAATGGAAGAATACAGAAAGATTATTATGTTTCAATGTTGTTGCATGCATATTCATTTTTATTACTGTAGAATACCATTCTATGATTAAACCACAATTTATTTCTTCATTTATTTTTGTTGATGAATTCTTGTCTTCAGTTTAGGTCTACTACAAATAATGCTGTTACAGACATTCTTATATCTGTCTTTTGTTGGATAGAAACCATCATTATAAGGATATCAATTCTTCCCAAATTATTTCATACTTTTTTCAAGTGATAGCCAATGACTTCCAAAAGAGTTCCAATTTAGACTTCTTTCCTGCCCTCCAAACTGTTACATCTAATTGCCCAACTAACAGCTCCACGTAAAGGTCTACCTACCTTGAACTCCCAATCTTCTCACTCATTCATTACTCATTCAATATTTATCAAGTACCCACCATGAGCTAGGCTGTTGTAGATGCTTGACTCCCACAGTTTTTCACCTCAGAGAGTAATTCCATCCTTCCATTTCTTTAGGCCAAAATATAGACTCATTCTTAACTCCTCTTCTTTTCTCATGCCCATATCCAAATCATCCTTCATGTCTACCTTCAAAATATCCAAGATCCAACCTCTTCCTACAGGTCTCGTCTAAGTTACCATCATCTCTCATTGGATTATTATCACAACTTCCTAACTGGCTTACCTATTTCTGTTCTTGTTTCACCCCTCCAACTCACAGTTTATTCTCAATACAGTGGCCAGAGTGATCCTTTCAGAACCCAAGTCAGATCATGTCACCTCCAGCTCAGAGCCCCACGGCAGCTCTGTGCCTCCTGAAGAGACTCCTGCAAGGCGCTTCGGGGTCTGGCCCTCCCCTGCCTCTCAGTTCTCTCCCCTACTCTGCTCTGTCACATGGTCCCCCTTGCTGCTCCCTGAACCCACATGGTGGTGATAAACCTCAGGGCCTTTACAACTGCTGATCTATCTGAAATTCCCTTCTCCCAGATATCTGCATGACTCACTCTTCATCTTTGCTTAAATGTCATCCTTTTAGGTCAGACTTTTTCTAGCCATCCTACTAAGACTGCTCCCTATCTCCCAAACCACCCTGCTCCTATTCCCTTCTCCAGTTTTATTTTTCTTCATAACTCTCACCACTTGTTTTGCTACCTTATATTTACTTATTTGTTATCTGTGTACCCTGAACAGAATTCAAACTCCATGAAGATAGAGGTTTGCTTTTTTTTTCTCTTTTGGTCACTGTGGTATATTCAATTGCCTAGAATAATGACGGCTACATTAGAGGCACCCTGTTTTGTTGAGTGGATACGTGAATACAAAATTCCAAATAAAGGCACCAGATTAAAATGTACAATTTTCAAAGGAAATGAAGACATTTTCAGAAATAATTCATCACCAGCAGGCCTGCACCAAAAGAAATGTTAAAGGAAGTCCTTCAGGCAGAAGGAAAAAGATCCCAGATGAAAACTAGGATCTGCACAAAGGAATGAAGAGCACTGGAAACAGTAATGACATGGGTGGATACATATGAATGCTTTTATTATTTAAAGATCTTTAAGAGATAGCTGATAAGTGAAATTATATATAATATTCAATTAATCCAAAAGAAGATAGGATCAAAATTAAACAAATGGAAAAATATGAAACAAACAGCAAGATAACAGACTTAAACCTAACCCTATCAATAATCATATTAAACATAAATAGTTTAAACATCTCAATTCAAAGCAGAGGTTGTCGGGTTGGATAAAAAGACAAGACATATGCTACCTACAAGAAATGCACTTTAAATATAAAAACCATGAACAGATTTTTTAAAAAAGGATAGAAAAAATATACACCATGCTAATGCTAGTCAAAAGATAGCTGGAGTGGCTATAGTAATATTAGACAAGAATATCAAAAGATATAAAGAAGGTCACTTCATAATGAAAGACAAGTCAATTAGTAACACAATCATCCTAAACATTTATGCCTCCAAGAGCAGGGTTTAAAAATACATGGAACAATAACTGATGGAACTTTAAGGAGAAATAGACAAGTTCAGATTATAGTCAGATTTTAATACCCCTCTCTCAATAATTGATAGAACAAGTACATAGAAAATCAGCAAGTACATATTAGACTTGAACAACGCTGTCAACCAACATGGCTGACATTTATAGAACACTCCACCCAACACCAGCATAACACACATTCTTCTCAAGTGTTCACAAAGACAGATCATATCCTGGTCCATATATCAAGTCTTGGTTTTAAAAGTATGTTCTCTGAGCACAAATTAAATTAGAAATCAATAACAGAAAGATCTCTGAAAAATCCTCCAAATATTTTCAAACTAAATAACACACTTCTAAATGACCCATGGGTAAATAAGAAATTAAAAGAAAAATTAGAAGTATTGTGAACTCAATGTAATTCACCATGTTAACAAAATTAAAAAAGAAAAACCATATGATCATCTCAGTAGATGAGAAAATATAGAGAAAGCACTTGACAAAACCCAACATCCAATCCTGATTTTAAAAGTCAGCAAACCAGGAATAGAAGGAACTTCCTCAAGCTGATAAAGGGCATCTATAAAAAGCCTACAGTTAACTTCATACCAACAGCTTCCTCCTTAAGATAAGAAAATAGACAAGATTCTCACCACTCCTATTCTATATTGTTATAGGAGGTTCTAACCACTGTAATCAGACAGGGAAAAAAAAACACCACCAAGAGTGGAAAGGAAGAAGTAAACTGTCTTTATTCACAGACAACATGTTCGTCTACGTAGAAAATTCAATTCATTTTACTAGAATA